GGGGCTATACAGTTTGGGAGATGACTCAGTAGGTAAAGGCAATTGCCATCAGGTCTGACAACTGAACATGACCCCAGGAGCCCAGATAGATGATAGAGGGAGAGGACTTACAAAAATTGTTTTCTGACCTCCACATGTGTGCCATGGCACACTGGTGCGCACACACACACACACTACACATACACAAAAAAAAATAGTGTAAAATAATTTTTTAAAAAGGTATAGTAGCAAGTTTTAATGGGGAAAAAAAAAGCTTAATGACAAAACTCTAACAGGAGCTAAACTGATCAAGAAATCAACTCTTTATTGCATGGATGGCCCTCTGAAAATAATTTAAAGAACATACACGTAACAGTTGGGTGTGGTGGCCCATGCCTTTAATCCTAGCACTCCAGAGACAGAGGCAGGCAGATCTCTATGAGTTCAGGCCAGCCTGGTCTACATAGTGAATTCCAGACTACCCCACTACAGGGAGACTCTGTTTTCAAAAAGATCCCCCCTCCCCACCCCCCAAAAAACACACAAGAACAAAAATCCCTTAAAACCATCATAACATAAAAACATTAATTACAATTGGGAGTGTATCAGAAATGATCTCTAAAATAATCAAGGGAGCTTAAATCCAAAAGTGATTATCAGGAATAGCTTTTCAAATCTTTTTTGTGTATTGACATCAACTGTTAACCTCAGTCTTACAAATAAAAATATTTTCTTTGTATTCTAAAAAAACATGAATTAGATTTTAAAAAATAGCTCTGAGTCAGACATGGTGGCACACGCCTTTAATTCCAGCACTAGGGAGGCAGAGGCAGGCAGATCTTTTTGAGTTTGTGGCCAGCCTGGTCCTACATAGTAGGACAGATGGGGCTACAGGGAGACCCTGTCTCAAAAAGACAAAAACAAAAACAAAAAAAAGCTCTGAAAAGCATTTTCTCAATGAAATTCTATCAATGATGTTTGAAATATTTTTCTGAAATATGAGGAGAAAAAATCTTTTTCAAAAAATCAAAGGTTAGGGCTAGAGAGATGGCTCAGTGGTTAAGAGCATTGACTGCTCTTGCAGAGAACCTGGGCTCAATTCCCAGCACACACATGGCAGCTAACAACTGTCCATAACTCCAGTTCCAGGGGATCCGACGCCTTCTTCTGACCTCCACGGGCATTGTACGACATGGGTGCACTTACATACAAGCAGACAATACACTCATAAAATAAAAATATTTTTTTAATCTTTACCAAAAAAAAAAAATCAAAGGTTAAATGCCAGGTATGGGTACAGTGGCACATGCCTTTACTAACAGCATTCAGGAGGCAGAGGCAGGCAGCTCTGTGAGATAGAGGTCAGCCTGGTCTACATAGCAAGCTCCAGGCCAGCTGTAGCTTACAGGGAGATCCTGTCTCAAAAAGACAAAAATTAATCAATCAATCAAAGGTTAAAACAGGATCAATGTCAATGCCAAAATATTCTGTACTCAAATATTCAGTGGAAATTGACAGATTTGTTTTTTAAGTATTAGTTTTTTTGTTGTTTTTCTTGTACTGAAAACCAATAAAAAACCAGGGGCTTGAGCATGCTAGGCAAACTCTGTTAATACTGAATTACATCCCTGGATCTTTTTAAAGCATTTGAGACAGCATCTTCCTAAGTAGCCAGGCTGGTTAGAACTATTTGCAGGCCAGGCTGGCCTTAAACTAGCTATTCTCCTACCTTAGTCTCCAGAGTAGCTGGGTTTGCAGGCATGGACCACCACAAATATTACTTTTGAAAGAATTCTTATTAATCCCAAAGCAATATCCTTTCCGTTTTCAGAAAACGGTGGGAATCCAATTTCCTATTTTATAGTATCTCAACCTATAAGAATCTCCCTAAGGAGAGCTCATGCCTGTAATCCCACACTTCCATTGCTGTGAGTCTGAGGCCAGCCTAGGCTATATAAAGTATGACTCTGTTGGGAAAGAAAGGGAGATGGGGGGGTGAAGGAGAGAGAGGGAGAGAATAGAAACTAAGAAAACAAAGAAAAACAAATCCCCTAATGGACTTGCTTTTTAAAAACCTCATTCTAGACCTCATCCCCAGAAATTCTAACTTAGGTTCAAAATTCACATTTTTAACATGCACATGAAAAAAAAATTATTTTGCAGCTAATTTGGGAGTTACCCTGTTCTATACACCCTGGGGGTTGTGGTTGAAACAGAAGATGCAAAGACAGAGAAAAATAAAAAGATTGCTTACAAACCTTTATATGCTGGAGCAGGTGGTGCTGTGGCCACTTTCCTGACTTTTGTTGACACTGAGCTGTCAACATTAACAACCATGACTGGATGGTCAATATGACCTAAATTCTGGCCCCGGCCATTTATTTCTTCTGAGTGTTCCCACTGTTTCCTAATCCGCTCCTTGAGTTTTTCCAGTTTGACATCATGTTGTCGCCGCTTTAAAATATCTAATCTTTGGGAATTACAAGTACTAGTAGAGGATGGAGAAGAATCTGATAGCCTTAAGACTTTTGAATTGGCATCGTGGCCCAAGTTACTAAGAGAAGGCTTTGAACTGTTCTCATTTCCTTTTGCTCTATTAGGCATTTTTTCCTCAATCCTTTAATCCCAGCACTTGGGAGGCAGAGGCAGGTAGATCTCTGTGAGTTCAAGGCCAGCCTGGTCTGCATAGTGAGTTCCAGGACAGCTGGGGCTACAAGAAAAAAAAAAAAAAAAAAAAAAAAAAAAAAAAAGCAAAAGCAGGGCTGGAGACATGGCTGTTCTTGCAGAGGACCCAGGTTTTATTCCCAGCACCCACATGATGAGTAACAACCATCTGTAACTCCAGTTCCAGAGGACCTGATGTCCTCTTCTGACCTCTGCAG